CTAGAACAAAGATATTCTCCTATGCAATCACAATAAATCCTTAAAATTAGGAAATTAACATTGATATATTACTACCATTCAATCCTTATACCCCATTCAAGTTTTGCCACTTACGCCAGTAACATCGGTTATAGCAAAAGAATCCAGTTTAGAATCACGGGTTACTTTTAGTTGTCGTGTCTCCTGAGTTTTCTCTAGTTGGAGTGGTTTCTTAGTCTTCCTTTGACTTTCATGACCTTGACATGTTAGAAGATTACAGGCCCGTCATTTTGTAGAGAGTACTTCAACTTGTGTTTGTCGTGATTAGATTCAGGTCATGTGTCTTTGGCAGGAATATCACAGAAATGATGCCATGTTCTTCTCAGTGCATCCTCTCACATGGCACATGAATTTGATTTGTCCTGTCGCTGGTGGTTAGCTTTCAACACTTGAGTAAGGTGGTGTCTGCTAGGCTTTTCCACTGTAAAGTTACTCTTTTTTCTCTTTGTAATTAGTAATTATCAGTATGAAATCATGGTTTCCTATTTTATCCAAGGAGTTATAATCTAGTCCTAGCATTATTTATTTTGATGCTCACATTGTCCATAATTTGCCAGTGGAAGCCTCTTCAAGCTGGCTTCTGTGTCTTTTTGCTATGTCTCCCTCACTCATAGAGCACTTCCTTGCTTTCAACAACATGTTCTGGTATCATCTTGTATTTTTCCCTGCTCCAGCCCTGGAATCAACCAACTTCCCAAGAAACTCTGGTTCCTCTTACAGAGAATAGTGTGTTTAGAAGATGCTAAGTGAGCTCATTGCCATTGCTGCTGCTCCTAGGCCCTCAGCGAACAGAGATAAGAAAAGTGTGTGTGTGTGTGTGTGTCTATTTACATCTACATTTATTTCACACCAATACCTCTGATTCCACTCCAACACCACAGGGATCATTCTACTTTTCTTCCTTTCTATATTTCTGACTCCCTTTTCTGACAGTAAGAAATCTGGTTCCTATTATCCTATTAATATATTAATTATTGGATCAATTACCCTGTAAGTAACCAATTTTCTGTAAATGCTGCTGCCCTGTCCTCTATATGCATGCCTTCCTGATCATTATAAGGCTTCATCATCCCTTGTGGAGCTGTCCATTGTCCCCACATGTGAATACCCTGTTCTGCCCCCTGTATTCCTTCACTATGTTTACACTTTCCTTCACTATGAACTTCCCCCAGCATGCACACCTTCCTTATCCTCTCTGGGCTCCAGCACTCTGTGCCAGGCCAGCCTTATAAATGGACGTCCTCCTCCCTCTGCCCAGCCTCTGACCCCTGTGCCAGTACCTCCTTACCCAGCGTGAACACCATCATCACCTGCTTGGGCTCTATCACTCCACACTGGATCTCCTGTCCATATGAGTATTCTTCTCACCCTGCACGGGCTCTGACCTCCCACGCCAAGGCCACTTCCTTCGCCATCCTCACCCCTCTTAGGCTCATGACACCCCATGTTGAGGCACCTCATTATGTGAACTCCTTCCTTACCCTGCTCAGGCTCCAACACCTGGTATAAGACAGCGTTGCACACATTATCCCCCTTCGTCCTGCTTGGGCCCTCACGTGGGGCTGCCCCATGTTTGAACACCCTATACATCTTCTCTGGGCTCTGACTCCACATGCTTCTCCTATAAGGATGCCTCCTAATGCAATTTGAGCTCCCACACCCTACTCATGCTTTTTCTACCTGATGGTTTTAGGACTGAAATAGCCAAAAAGGGAAAGAGTTCTACATTTTTTTGGAGCTTATGTTAGATAAATGTTGAGTGTTTTCATTCTGTCATCTATAGCTCTTAATATCTCTGATTAACGTTAATTTCTGATTTTTTTCACTCAACATTTTCTGTTTCTTTACCACTTCTTGCTGTATTCTGTGTAATTATTGAGAATTACCTTTAAATTTATTGCTTCTTCACTTGAGTCTATTCTGATTTATCCTCTTAATTGGCTTTTGTTATATTCCAATGATTATATTTTATTTCTACAGGTAGTGTTTGTTTCTTTTAAAATTCTACCTGTTTATTTTTTTATAGGCTGTCTTTTTTTCTTAGGGTTTTACATTTCTTCATTTGTCTCTTTAATAGTTTATAATAATTTAATATATTTGTTCTTCTTTTGCAATACATTTTTGGATTGTTTTCTTATTAGTTCCTGGGATACTAGTTGCTCTGTTTGATCACAGTTTATTATTTTCTCGAATGTTTTGTAATTTTTAATTGTGATCTTTGCCACTGGGGTTGTTTCTGTGGAAATCCTATGCAATCTTGGTTATGGAAATGTCTTCCAAAATACTTTCTTTTTTTTCAAACAGCTTTATTAAAATATAATTGTATATTTGTATGTATATACATATGTTTTGAAAGTGTACAGTTTGATAAGTTTTGATGTATGTATTCACTCATGAAGACATCATCACAATTAAAATAATGAACATGTCTACCATCTTCAAGAGTTTCCTCAATTCCTGTTTGTAATCTCACTCCTCCTTGTCCTTTCTTCCTATCCGTAGGCAACCACTGACCTGTTTCCTAGTATTCTAGATTAATTTGAATTTTCTAGAATTTCATACAAATGGAATCATACAGTATATATTATTTTTAGTTATTTTTTTCACTTGACATAATTATTTTCAAATTCATCCATATTCTGAGAATCAACAGTTCATTACTTTTTATTGCTGAATAGTATTCCATTGTTTGGCTGTACCACAATTTGTTTATCCATTCATCTGTTGATGAACATTTGAGTTGTGTCCAGATTTTGGTATTATAAAGAAAACTGCACCTGTAGAAGTCTTTGTATAAACATATGCTTTTTTTTCTCTTGGGTAAGAGCCTAGGAATGGATTGACTGGGTCAAGTACTAGGCATATGTTTGATTTCATAAGAAACTGCCAAACTGTTTTCCATCTTAACATTCCTGTCAGCAACGTATGTGTTCTAGTTGTTCTACATTCTTCTTAATACTTGGCATGATCTTTTAAAAAAAACAATTTGAGATATTCTAATAGATGTGAAGTATTATTAACAGACCTCCCGGTGGTGTCATTGACCTGGGAACAGTTATTTACATGGATTTCTTCACACGGGGATTCTGGCATGATATATAATGATATTTTTTTACTCCAAACCTGTTTTGTGGTTCAGGCTTGGCATATTTTTCTGGGGATATTTGGGAATAAGCTTCCTTATCTTCCTGTGGTAGTGTTGGAGTTTTTCTACTTCTCGTTTCATTGAGCTAAGTTACTTCTGGAGGGCTTTGCTCCTGTCCTTACTTGAAGATGAACACTCAAACCCCCAGCTAACAGAGCCATAAACTGACTCAGCTCCAGTTTCAGGTTTCTCTTATATTTTTATTTCTTGGAATTTCCTAGACTTATTTGCAAGCTTGGTCCTGAAACAACAATTTAAAAAATACATAATGCATTATTTCTCTTTGAAGCAAAAGAGGTCTAAGTTTAGATTATAGTGTTGTTTGAAACTAGAACTCTTTGGTTAGCTCAGTAATATGGTTAATATGTGCGGTCCTGATATTCTGAATTGCAGTGCTCAGTGCTTTTTCTATAGAAATCTTGGTTTCATTGTGTTTGGGTACTGTGCTAAGAATAGAACAATAAATTATAGATTACATAGACTTGTGAACTGGCCTAAGAAGTGAGCCATGAAGAACAAGGTACTAAATTCCAAACAATTGAACTACTGGTAAAATTTTGAGTGTAACCAGTTTATGTTAACCCATTAACTGCCCATATTGAATTTGTGTTCATAGTGTCAATGCATACCATGTTTACGTGTGTATGTGTGTGTAACTGAACATTATAAATAATGTGTACACGAGTTTTTAAAACTTATATTGGTATTTACCCTTTCTACTTTAGTACCAGAAATCCTGCAGGACAGAAGGTTTTCATTGTCTTAACTTTCTCAAGGCAAATATGGAAGTAAACTTGGTATCGTTCTCCTTTCTGGTATCTTTGACATTTTTAATGAGATTAAATATACACTTCTAAGGAGAAACCTTATTAATTTATTCTAAGGACTTAAAATGTTATTCATACCCCAGTTTTTTGTATTTCAGAAAAGAATGCCTATTTGGAGAACATTTAACTCAATGTTTCACAAAATGTAATGCTCATATCATTGGATTATATTTCATATTATTTTGGGTGGTACACAGGCAAGCAGTTTTTGGTAATTATGCCTTCACTTTAACCCTTGTAACTCACACATGAAGGTAGTGATTTCTTGAAAAGTATTGTTTAGGAAGATACTAAATATAAATATAAAAATAAAAATTATTATTGTAAATAGTAAAGATAGAGCATGAATATGGCAGAAATCATGACAGTCATATATGAGTCTTTGAAGACTAGGAAACTTTTTTGGAAGAGATTTACTTTTCAATAGCAAAGTTCAGATATTTGTTACCTAGATGAGATGATATTTCTGGGGAGAGAGAGTTTGCAAAGCTGTCTTCAAATTATAGTTTGTAAACAGCTCTATTCTGTAGAATAGAATATTATATTTTATATACAGAATATAAGATAGCTTATAAGAATATATACAGAATATAAAACAGACAGCTTTCTGTATATGGAATATAATAATCTGTAGGATGTAGAGTACTCATATTCTACTGGATTTCATATTCATATCAATAGTAGAATATTCTACTGTGGGTCAGGATCACCCATAGTGGGTGGAGTGGGTAGACTTTTCCTAGTCTTCTCTTCATCAGCATCAATAATCAAGAATTGGAATAAAAGTCATTCCTCTTTGATGGATTAACGATGGATGGGCATCGTAATTTCAATGTCTCCTCTAACTGATGGGGAAGTGCCCTTTTCCATAGCTCTGGGAGAACGTGTGGTTAAAGTTTATGTCATCATAAATCCACCTTGTGATATGACCAGTTCCCCAAATTTAAGAATGATGACTGTGTACACTTCTTCCCTTGTCTATGGTCCAGGATTCACTCAACATGAGGCCCTCCTTGCAGGCAGTGGCTCTCTGGGGAAAGAAGGCCCCTCCGCACAGCATCACTGCCATCATGATCACCGATGACCAGCAAACAATGGTGACTGGAAGCCAAGAGGGGCAGCTGTGTCTCTGGACTCTCTCACCTGAGCTAAAGGTTAGTGAAAAAGATTAATATTGAAACAGACAACGCTCACAAAATAAACACAGCTTGCTTCTTGTACCTGCAATGGCAGTGGAAGGTTTGCATGATTGTTAAAAAGATGTTTACTGAAGTAATAAATTGGTTTTACTTCTGAATTTGGAGAAAATTAAGTATTTTATGGTGTATCAAGATCATATTGAAAAATTATATTGTGAATATTGCTAATCTTCGCTACCAGCTAAGTGTTATCACCCTTTAAGCTATGCTGAGTTTTACTATTTTATATCCTGAATTATATGCTTAAGTAACTGAACTACAGACATGTAAGTATAATTCTAAAAATTATTGCTCATTAATCTAAACAAAGGGTATCCTTGAAAACCACTATTAACTAAATGAGTAATATCTTAATTATCTGGGTATTTCTGTCAGTTTGGCCTTCTTGGGATTCTTTTAGTCTCTGCCTGCCTGTGATTTTTACAGATCGCATCAAAAGCTCTAAATCCAATTTACTATTGTCATCCTGCTATTTCAGAACCTGACCTCACCTAGGATTTGGCCCATTGATTAACAATTAATTGTCCCTGTCCCAAGTCATAAACATTTAACATATTGGAATAGATATTTGCTTAGCTCTCGCAGCCCCTAGACCCAATTTGAACATTTAAACTAATGATGTACTTAAAGTATATTGCCCTCATTAAGAAGCCTTTTAAAGATCAAAGACGATTTTTAGCCTTTAAAGTTTGGCACTTTAAAACCTAAATTAACAATTAATTGTAATTCTATTTTATAGTGTAATTAATTAACATCTCCCATCACTGAACAGTTACACTACAGGACTGCCAAGAACTACATAGCAAACCAGCTCAGCTCAATGTTTATGAACATTCCTGAAAGAAGGAACTGGTATTGTTGCAACAGTTGAGCTTTGAAAATTGGTCTTCACATTTATTATCTCTTATAGTTTAAACTCAGACTCCTAAATGCCTTAAAATGTCTGAACTACTTTTAATGTTGAAGTGTGGTGTTTTCTGGCTGGAGTAAGTGTCTTGTAATATGTAAGTTACTATAAGCTTAAGAATTTGGGATTCTAACATCTCTATCTTTTTACATATGTTTCTGGAATTTATTCAAAATGCATTTATTGAGTGCATATTATAAGTTAGGTGTGGTGCTAGGTACCTGAGTTCAAACACAAATAAGACCTTGTGTTGGCTGCCCAAGAGGTTGCATTGTAGTAGAGGACAGACATAGGCTAATGCAGTGCAGTTGTGTTACAATACAAAGTGCTCTAAGTAGGGAGTGGTCTGCACTACATCTTCAGTGGGAGAAGTTATGCCGTGCTTTTCTTAGGAGCAAGTCTTTTTGCTCAGGCTATGTGGTTCTTAACAGACAGTGATATTGCGCCCCAAGAGACACTTGGTAATGTCTGCAGATGTTTTTTTGTTGTCACAACTGGAGGAAGGGGAATGCTACTGTCATCTAGTGGGTAGAGGCCAGGGATGCTTTAAACATCCATTAGTGCACATGACAGCCCCTCACAACAAAGAACTATCCCATCCAAAATGCCAATAGTTCCGATATTGAGAAATCTACAGTGGGTATCGGGTGGGAATAGGAATCGGATTGGCAGGGGTGGAAAAAAATAAGGAGAACCATTGAGGAGATGTAAGTAGGGGATTGATCAGCTTCATGTTTTGGGAATTCACTGTCAGGACATTGTGAGACAGTTAACAACATGAGTATAATACCAATTAGTATGAATGTGAGATTTTCCACGTGAGAGTTTTCCTTCACATTTTCTATGGCTAACCATAGGACCAGAAAGAATAAACATCTTCTTTTATTTTTCTTATGAATCTCACCCCTACATGACAACAGATCAACTATTAGCAGGGAAACTCTAGGCTTTTCAAAAATCAAGGGCATTTTTGAATCTCAACAAATCTTCTTGCTGTCTATAAGACAGTCAAGTGAGTGGTTCACCATTCATATTTTAATGCTTGGTAGTTTAATTTGATTTGTATTTAAAAAATTTATATTAATAAAGGAATAGTTTGGGCAGAGGAAGAAGAGGGGAGGCTTTGAAGACATGGGAGATTATGGCTGTAGGGCAGCCTGAGGCCAATGGCATATCAAGGGCAGGACAGCAGGAAGGGAAGAAGGAAGTTACAAGGAGGGGGTGTAAAGTGACCTGGAAGCCATTTATTTTCTTTTCATACTGAATTTGGAAAGCCTCTTCCCCGATCCAAGAGGATTTAGGTAAGAGAATACTTGCCATCATATAAAGTGGAAAAACAAACCTAAGGACACTTACTTACAGAGTCGTTAGACAAATTACACAGATGCTTTTTGTTCTAGGCACAGATCTCTCTTTCAAGTTTCTCAGTCTAGTGTAGAAGACAGACTTGTAAATAGGAAGTTGTAAAGCAGTGGGATATTTCCTGTCTCTATGAATTTGACTACTGTACATATCTCATGTAAGTGGAATCATACAGTATATATCCTTTTGTGACTGGCTTATTTCACTAAGCATAATGTCCTCAAGGTTTATCCATGTTGTAGCATGTGTCAGAATTTCCTTTTAGGGCTGAATAATATTCCATTGTGTGTATATACCGCATTTTGTTTATCCATTCATCCATCAAGGGACACTTGGGTTGCTTCCACATTTTGACTATTGTGAATGCTGCTGCTATGAACCTGGGTGTACAAATATCTGTTTAAGTCACTGCTTTTACTTCTTTGGGGTTATACCTAAAAGTAGGATTGCTGGATCATATGGTAGTTCTATTTTAAATATATATATGTATATTTTTGTGAGGAAGATTAGCCCTGAGCTAATACCCATTGCCAAATCTCCTCATTTTGTTGAGGAAGATTGGCCCTGGGCTAACATCCGTGCCCATCTTCCTCTACTTTATATGGGACGCCTCCCACACCATGGCTTGATAAGCAGTTCATGGGTCTGGGCCCAGGATCCGAACCTGCGAACCCCGGGCTGCTGAAGCGGAGCACGTGAACTTAACCACTACGCCACCTGGCCAGCTCCTCTATTTTAAATTTTTTGAGGAACTGCCAAACTGTTTTCCATAGTGGCCGCACTGTTTTACATTCCCACCAGCAGTATACAAGGGTTCCAGTTTCTCAACATCCTCATCAACACTTGTTATTTCCTTTTTAGTTCATTTGTTTTTTGTTTTATAATAGCCATCCTATCATTGTGAAGGTATCTCAGTGTGGTTTTGAAGGGAAAGTCTTTCTGAGGGTGATGCTTGACCTGAATTCTAAATTATGCCCAGGACTTGAACAGGAAAAGATAGTGGGAGGATACTGCAGTCAGAGAATGATAAGTGTGTATGAAAAGCATGAATATTTTGCCTTCAGGGAACTGGTAAATGTAGTTGAGTAGACCTGGAACATAGGGGGTAAGTTAGAGGTGATAGGCTCACCTGGAAGGGATGGAGCAGACTCAACGTGGAATCTGACGTGCTGAGGGGTTTAGATTTTTTTTTTTAAACTAGCAAGAGCTAATACCACATGCTGGTTAAAAGCAGTGGTGATATTAAGGGATTTTGAGGATGTTTTATGGGATGAGATGTCATAATACTGTTTTGTTATATTTGTGATTTAGACTATCACTTGGTATTAATGTGAAGGGCATATTGAAGGGACATGGAGATGAGATAAGGGACAGGGACTAGGGGCAGGAGCCTTCTATAGTAATTTAGTCAAGAAAGTTTTCAAGCATGAACCAAGTCAGTGACAATGGGAATGAAGAGGAGATGAAATGTGGAAAGATGTTAAAAAGGGAGAATGGACAGAGTTGAGCCACCAACTGGATGTGGGATAAAGGAGCAGGCACAGTCGAGGATACCTTCCAGATTTGGGATTTGGGTGATGGATGGGACTGGTGGGATGATGCTATCATGTAGTTGTATAAGGATTAGTAATAGGAAGGGAAAGAAGTTCTGGACATCTTAGAGTATCCAAGTATACATTAGGGGCTTGGGTGCACATCTCAGTCTTTCCCTGTCCATGGGTGGTGGGATGGCAGGGTGCAGGGGAGTTGGAGAATAAGTGTTTCCCTGTGCTGGGCTTCTCATCACATGCCTAGATTATGCATGCTGCTTCCAGGCTCAGAGTCTGACCCCCAGAGCCCTCTAGTTTCCCCAGAACTTTGTGAGGTTCGTTAATGAGGAGTCTCTCCAAGTCCCATGCTAGGAACTTCCTCACCTGGGTTTCCTGATATTGATTGCTGGTTTTCATTGTATCTTTAAGCATAGAAAAAGGTGAATTGAACATCCTCTCAGATATATTCCCTTACTTGTGCTATATTGTATTTTTCTTCCTGTTTAGTATTCAGATGGCAACACAAAAATGACAAAATGAAGAATAGCAATGTTGTGTAGAAAGAAAGAATGGGTATCTGGGTCAAGTTCTAGCTCTGATATTTACCAACTCTGTGGTATTGGGCAAATAACTTATATTCTTTGAACCTCAATTTTCCCACCTGTGAAATGGGCATTAAACACTGTTGTAGTTGGACCAGTGCCTCGAATGTGGTAGTAGATGCTCATCAACCTGTGTGTTCTTTTTCCCTTTCCCACTGTGCTGTTGGAAGTGCCTGGGGTGGGAGTGGGGGGTGACCAATGGTTCACAGAGGTAGAGACAAAGAACAGAAGTAAAGATCTCCTGGATTTCATCATGACAATGACTAGGTATGATTGTAGAATTTTTTTGTTATTCTTCACAACAGGTCTAGAATGTGATAAAATGAGGAGACTATAGTGAATTGTAACAGCTTGTTGAACTACATGAGGGGATTTAGCAGCAGACTGAGGACTTCATATGAAAGGCAATGGTGTTCCATTCTGATATTTTGTTCATAGTGGATTTTCTCTGGAGGAGGGAACATCCTTGATGAGCCCTCATTCTTTGTTTGATTTGGCTTATGTATACTGGAAAGGGGTTAAATTCATGGGGGTATGCGTTTCCAAGTATGATGATGGGGAAAGATATTATGTTGTTTTCTGAGATGGAACCTTCTGAATGTCCCAGGAAAAATGTAGAGAGTCAGCACTTGGGTTGTAAGTGATTCTGATCAACCATAAACCCTCTTTGTAGCACTAGAAATTTAGTCTGATAACAGACCTTTTAAAGAAATATTTCTGATTATGATAGAAATAAGATAAAGGCAGAGAACAATTATGTTATGAAATAATTTGTCCTCACTGATATGGTTGTGTTATCAGCTACATATATGTTTGCATAGTTCTGAAACATAATGAATATTAATTCATTTGGAAAATAGATTTTTATTACCCATGACACAAGTTTTATTGACCATAGTTTTCTAGTCATTCAAATTAAATTTTTAGTCTCTTATTGACAACCTCTTCTCCATTTGAGGGGATCTTACATGTTTTCTGTTTTGTAGTTTGATTTTTATAATCTTGTTTTACAAAATACTAAAGAATAGACTTCTTTCACACATGGGATAATGGAAGAATTAGCCCTTGGTGCCATAGTTTTAAATTCAAATATAGGAGAAAAACAGTAGCATTTTAAATAATAGCTTAATTGCAATTTTATTTTTAATGTAGAAAAATTAATTTAATTATTTCTAAGGAAAGAAGCCAAATAAGGTATTGTAATGGTTACAAAAAGGGTAAACTTTTCTTTGTATTATTTTGTAAACTCATTTCTAAATTCTGAAATTTGCACGTTAATATGCTACTATCATTTGAGGTACATTTTATACATAGTAAACATCAGCAATGACATTTGTATTCAAAACCTAGATGTTGTAAAACAGGTCTGGCAGTCATCTAGGTTTCGTGATGGATACAAAGCCAAAAACAAACAAAAAAAATGTGTACAACACAATTCCTCTATGGAGAAGTTTATTATTCGGTGGATTTTGATATGCCATATATCAGTTTTCCTTAAACTTATGTACAGTGAAAACATAACAAGATTTGCTAATCAGAATTATGAATATTTATATAAAGTCATGTTTATATTCTTCAACTAAAAAGTTTACACCTGTTTAAAAGCTTACCCTCATCATTTTCAGATTTCGGCTAAAGAACTTCTATTTGGTCATTCGGCTTCAGTAACATGTTTGGCAAGAGCGAGGGACTTCTCTAAACAGCCCTATGTCGTTAGTGCTGCTGAAAATGGGTAGGTAAGATGTGTGGAACTTGAACCTCTCTCCATTCCCTCTCCCTATTTAAAAACTATGATGGGGCACAGAATTCTAGGGCTGAAGGAAACTTTAGTGATTAACATGCTCCTTTTTTTTTTTTTTTTGTGAGGAAGATCAGCCCTGAGCTAACATCCATGCTAATCCTCCTCTTTTCGCTGAGGAAGACTGGCTCTGAGCTAACATCTATTGCCAATCCTCCTCCTTTTTTTTCTTCAAAGCCCCAGTAGATAGTTGTATGTCATAGTTGCACATCCTTCTAGTTGTTGTATGTGGGACGCGGCCTCAGCATGGCCAGAGAAGTGGTGCGTTGGTGCATGCCCGGGATCCTAACCCCAGCCGCCTGTAGCAGAGCGCGCACACTTAACCGCTAAGCCATAGGGCTGGGCCCTAACATGCTCCTTTTACGTTTAGGAAAATTTAGATCTTGAATGGTTGAGTAATTTGTGTGACCCAAGGTCCCAAGGAATGTAATCAGTACTATCACTCAATGTAAAACTCTTTTTTTACTGAATTGGGACCAAAATAAACATCTCAACATATGTATCAGGCCTTGTGGCATCCTCACTGTGTAAAGGATACTGGCAAATGCCACCTATTATAGAATTGGAAATGCAAAAGTCTGGGCGCTTGTCTTTTTTTATGTAGTAACTCACTTTGAGCTCTTAAGCAAACCCATCCAATTGTAAAACAATTCAATAGTTAGTTACAATCTTCATGTTGTATCCTTGTCTGATATCATTATAAAACGAACAAAGGAAAGGACTCAGTTTTAAGTGGAATGATGGGAAAGAGAAAGGAAAGTCACGTTGACAGTGATTTGGGTGCAGTTTCATGGAAGCAAGGTTTGTTCCAATGAAAGAGGACTTGGCTATAGGAAGAAGCCCCACTGATGGAAGAGCCACTATGAACTAGACTTTGCTGCTGAGTTATTTGCCAAAGTATACTCAGGAATGTGGAATCGATTCAGCATGCATTCATGAATGACGGATTGGGTTGCTGGTTGAAACAAGAGAACTTCTTCCTTTTTTGTTTTTAACCCAAGGAGAAATTATATGGCTCTGAATTCTGAGACTCAAAAGAATAATGAGGGATCAAGTGTTCAATTTGTAGAAACTGAATAGTTTAACAAAATGGCTAGTGGAACAGATATCAAAGAGGTACCTATTCTCATAGCTTATAGCAAAGCCATGATTGTGATACTTAGGTTGAACTTTGGGCGAGGCTAACGTGAACTGCCCTAGTACATTCTTTTTTAACAATTGTCAGTAGCTTTCATACACTAGGGCTGCCACAAAACCTGTTAGACATGCTGAGATATTTATTCCCAATCTAGAGAACTTGGGGGATGGTGAATTTTTTCTGAGACTACTTGGAGAGTTAGAAAAATTAATAGCTAAGTAGGAAATAGATCTGAAAATAATTGAGTTCCAGTTTGAGGTTTTTGCCCACAGTGGCCTAGCTCCAAAAAAGAAACTAGGGTTAATAGACATATTCTTCATGATAGATAAATTCAGCTGTATGAGCCCTGTAAATATGATTGTTAAACAGCCAAGGGATCTAGTTTGGTTTTACTTTTCTAAAATGATTTGGATTTTCTAGAACTCTGTTCCTTTGGAGTCCAAAACTTAGCCTGCGTCTATAAGATACTTCTTAGTCAGTACCTACACTTCAGCTACTGCATACTTAGCAAATCCTAATTTACTCTGCTGGAAGTACTAAATTTACTAGGCTTCGCCCATTATTCCCCAAACAGCAATGATTTTTTAGCTTTGAGAAGTCCCAGGATATGGCTGTAGGCTTAGCATTTCTGCCTCTAAGATGACCAGAGGGGACCCAAAATTGCCTCATGACTCAGTTTTTCATTTTTTTCCCAAAGTATTACTTTATCTGTAGGCATAAATCCTAAGATTCAAGAATCCCTTGAATTCCAGGATATATGAAAGGAAATACACAGCTAGAGACTTGATGTTGAAATGGCAGAATATCAAAGAAAAAGAGAAGATTCTGAAAAGTAGTCAGTGAGAAAAAGCAGATTGTTTACAAAGGAAAATTAATTAAACTGAGAGCTGACTTCTCAACAGTAAAATGAAAATAAGACAGCAGTGAAATATCTTCAAACAGTTGAGAGAAAATATCTGTCAACTTAGAATTATATCTCTAGCAAAAACATCTTCCAAAAACGAGGGCAAAATAGTAACATTTAAGACAAATACTGAGTGCTCACTGCCAAGAGACCCACTACAAGTAATGAAATTCTAAATGATATTCTTCAGTAAAAAGAACTTTGATTTCAGAAGGGAGATCTGAGATAGAAGAAGGAATATTGAACAAAACCCAGAAGATTTTTAGAAAATTTAAATAAACGCAGACTATAAGACAATAAGCCAGCCCTGGTGGTCTAGTGGTTAAGATTCGGTGCTCTCACCGCTGCACCTGGGTTTGTTTCCTGGTCGGGGAACCACCCCACCTGTCTGTCAGTTGTCAGGCTATGGCGGCTGCGGGTTGCTGTGATGCTGAAAGCTATGCCACTGGAATTGCAAATACCAGCAGGGTCACCCATGGTGGACAGGTTTCAGCAGAGCTTCCAGACTAAAACAGACAAGGAAGAAGGACCTGGCCACCCACATCTGAAAAAATTGGCCATGAAAACCCTATGAATAGCAGAGCATTGTCTGATATAGTGCTGAAAGATGAGAAGATGGCACAAAAAGACTGGGCAGGGTTCCACTCTGCTGTACACAGGGTTGCTAGGAGTCAGAATGGACTCCACGGCACTAACAAATAAGACAATATGTTTGTATATATACATCTCCCATCCTCCCACACATACACACCATGCTAATCAACAATTGCTAATCAACAATAGTGTAGTGATTAGATGCCATTTATTCTGGTGTTCTAGAAGTAGATAAAGATGTTGATTAACTTTAGACTTTAGCTAGATTATACATGTTGACACTTCCAGGGTAGCTGCTAAAAGAACAGACAAAAGAGGGGCTGGCCCGGTGGCATAGTGGTTAAGTTCACACACTGTGCTCCGGTGGCCCAGGGTTCACGGGTTTGGATCCTGGGCATGGACCTACACACCACTCATCAGGCTATGCTGTGGTGGCGTGCCATGTAAAGTGGAGGAAGATGGGCACAGATGTTAGCCCAGGGCCAATCTTCCTCAGCAAAAAGAGGAAGATTGGCAACAGATGTTAGCTCAGGGTCAGTCTTTCTCACACACACACACAAAAAGAACCGACAAAAGAAATAGAATATATAACTTCCAATTTAAAAAGAAAAAAAATGTTGTTCAGTCCAAAGAAGAGAAAAATAAATGGGACAAATAGAAAGCACAAGATAAGATAGTTGAAATAAACCTGAATAAAACAATAATCTCAATTACGTAAAGGGACTAAGCCCTCCAGTTAAATTACAAAGATTGCTAGACAATTAAAAAAACAGAAACAGCAAAAAGACATAGACAAGTTAAAAGTAAATGGATGGAAAAACATTTATCAGATGAATACTAGCCAAAATAAGGTTGATATAGCTATATTTATATTTTATATTAATAAATATACGTACTTAATAAAACCTTAAGGCAAAAAAGGCTTGGCATTGAGAAAGAAGATTATTACTTCTTACTGACTTTTAATCACCAGTGAGAGATGAGACTAGAGAGACAGGCAGGCACCCAGTCTTGGAGTCTTCTAGGACAGTGCTCCTTAAACCTGAGTTTGCATTAGGATCACTTGCAGAGCTTGTTTAAATATCGATTTCTGGGCCACTCCTGCAGGTAAGGATTCAGTAGGTCTAGGCCGAGGTTCCAGAACTTGCATTTCTAACACGTTCCTGGACAATGCTGACTCTGCTGGTTCAGAGAACATATTTTGAGTAGTGAGTACCCCACCTTTGGGGCATTTAGAAAAAGTGTGAGGTCAAGAATGACTTGGGAAACTCATTGGTGATGATGATACCATCCACTGAGAATAGGTAACAAAGAAAAAAAGATGTTATGTTTTGTTTTGAACAAAAGGAGTGTGAAGTCATGCAAGTCATCCAGGTGGAGACATCTAATAGCTAGTAGCATGTGGAAATCTAGAGCTCAGTGAACAGGTCTGGGCTTCCAATAGCGTGTAGACGGTACCTGAAGTTCTGGGAGTAAATAACTCACCCAGAGAGAGTGCAAAATGTGAGACTGTAAGAAAGTCTAAGACAAAAATCTAAGGAAAACCAACATTTAAGAAGCAGGCGGAAGAGGAGCCTGAAAATGCCAAAGAAAACCCAAAAGTATAATGGAAGACAAGAGAAAAGACAATTTGAAGAATATAATGGACTTCCAATTCAGGATGGCAAACCAAGCATTCATGTTTATCTTCTCTCCCTCTTAGATGCTTTGTTAAAATTTGAGCAAAGCAATAACAGTGTTATAAGCACACAAATTTGAGAATAGGAATGGGGCAAAGAAACAATAGGATATTTCTGAAAGATGGAAGGTGGACGGAGGAATGGTGACTGATCTATTTGTCTATTCAATGAATTTTTATTGAGGTGCTGAGGTAGAGATGTAGATTTCAGTTAGAAAACAATGCTCTTTATTAAGGAACTTTAGGGGGAATTTAATAATTTTCTAATTTTATATGTTGTAGATATTTTTCTCTATGTTTTTCTTTTCATTGAAATAAAAAACTTAAAGAATTTAAAAAATTTTGGAAATTGTTAAATTTAATTTTTTTATAAGCGATGGTTATTTAGACTATGTACAAACTTTGGGAACAGTATTTGAAAAAGAAAAGAAGAATATGCATTCTAATTAATTAATTAGTTAATTTTCACGTCTTCTTATTAAGTATGTAACTTGTGCAGTTCCAGCTACAATGCCAATGCTGCTTTTGATACACAATGAATTTGATTTCTTTCCTTAAATAGAATCCATAGGCAAAGAGTCAATTTTGGCTTTGCGATATTTTTGGTTTTTCTTTAAAATTTAAGATAGAAGGTAAGATGATAAGCAAACAAACAGAGAAAGCATTAGAATCCGAGAGAGTTGAGAGACATTAGTATCACTGGGAGGAGATCTTTTACTGATGCGGAGGCTCCAACCCTGGAAAATGTGATTTAATTAGCCTGGCTTGATATCTGGGTTGGGTCAGTATTTTTAAAAAGCTCCCTGATAATTCTAACGTATAGCCAGAGTTTAGAATCACTGGTTAGGAGATAGACTTACCTAACAACAGGTTAACTGACCAGAAGTTTTACAAAACCCCACGTGTCAGGTTCCCAAAACAGAGCCATGGAATTAGAATCTGTGAGTGTAATTTCCAAAATAGTCACAGATGATCATTGATGCCTACCTAGAGCAGATGCACTCAAATTCCTTGTAGAGCTAAAATTTTATATTGATGGCTGCTTAAGATTCAGTTTCTTTACTTTTGATGTATATTTCTTGACCTTTGAGATACATTATTTCAATTTCTACATTTCTCTCAGTCTTATTTTTCAGACACACACAAATTTTTTCCCCTGTTATTGAGTTGCATGTCTCAAATCCTTTTTGGAATAAGGTTGGATATAAACAGTGAGGGAAAAAAAGACTAGGAACGTTTTGTTTCTATATCTAGAACATGGTTTCTCAACTTCAGGGCTTATGACATTTTGGACCACGGAAGAAGTCTTTGTTGTGGGAGACCATCCCATGCATTGTAGGCTGTTTAGCAGCATCCCTGGGCTTTAGCCACTAGATGCCAGTAGTGCGTTCCTAGTTGTGACAATCGCAAATATCTCTAAACATTGTCAAATGTCCCTTGGGGGGCAAAATCGCCCCAGGTTGAGAACCACCGATTTAAAGATTGAGTTCCACTGTTTGGCTAGAAAAACAAAAAAGCCTGCAAATCACCGAATGCATAAGCATTTAACATTATTAGCCCTTATCTTTTGCTTCTTAATAGCAGCTTCTCCCTTAAAGCTGATAAAGCTTTCATTTTTCTTCCATGGATAATTTTGCTTATGTGTTAAAACTGTCAAAGCAGAAGAATATTACCAAACCACTCTGAAACAGCCATTCTGTTTTTTGTGAACAGAAATCATATAAGCTACTTTACACTGGATGTATTTTGTAGCTGTATTTCATAACTGTGTCTATTTCTTTGTGACATTAATGTAACCAAGTCAGAGTTTTCTAAACAATGAGAATTTTCTAAACATTAAGTGGCAAGGATTTCAGGAGAAGCAAAGAAATAAACCTTATCAATGACAGACCAAATAAACCGTATCAATGATAGACCGAGGCCTCTTGGTGGCACTGTTTATTTTTACAAAAATGATATCACTGCTCCACAATGTGCAGCACTTGATACATTATGCTTTTCAGAATATGTAATTTTAAGTTCAGTGAAATAAACCACTTTCAAGAGGATGCAGTTTCCGTGGAAAGATTGTTATACTGTCACTCTAACACGCTATGATCCCTGTATCCCCACAATTTGTTGTAGGGTCATGTTGGTGCTAAAGTCAGGTTTGTAGGCCGGAGGCAAGGTGTAATTACCCAAACAAAAAGACACAGATACAGTATGTCATCCCTGCTAATGACCAAAACATTTTCTTGCCCAGTAATCTGTAACAAAAAACCACATAAACAATCAGGCTGCATTTAAGTGTAGCACTAAAGAAAAACTTCGTGGCACAAAAATTGTTCCAGCCAATTGAGTGGAAATGAAAGAGAATAATACAAAGTTATCTCTGCTAGGGAGATGTGTGTTTGGAATGTCACCAACGGACAGTGTGTGGAGAAGGCCACCCTTCCTTACAGGCACACGGCAATCTGTGTAAGTACATTCGCTTCCTTCAGAACATTTCTGGATTCTACAGCTCCTTTAGAGCATTTGCTATGCACACAATAAAGAAATGTCTTTGGAAGATATGCTTTTCTTAAATTTTTGTTTTGTCATTAAAGTAGTTATCATTTGTTATTTTGGCATTTTTCTTTCCCAAAAGTTATTATTCAACCAATTTTTTTTCCTGATTCTTTCTCTTATTTCTGTATCTTTCAACGTAGATAAATTTGAAAGACAGTTTTCATATTTTTCCTTAGGTACCCTCACAAAACACACACACACGCAGACACACACAGAGAAAGATTCCATTTTAACGGTGTAATATTTTATAAAGTAAAAAAGTGGTTTTTTCCTAACCTTTTTGGGTGGATAGATTCTTAATTTCTGAATTTCTTATTTATGAAATGAGAGCAAGAGGTAGAGCCATAAACTTTACAATCACTTCCCAGTATTTAAAACAGATTTTGGCTTTTGGTAGGCGGACTGCAACTGTCTATGTAAGGTAGTTGTGTGATTCCAATGGTGCTGACAGTGTTTTTATATATTTCACTCATTGCTTTTAGCATTGATGACATGCACTGCAACATTCACAAACGCCTTTCTGGGACCAAAACCTGCACAGTGAGTGAGCTCATCCAGGGTAGAATATACTCCTCAATCTTGAATACAAGCCATTCTCATAACTTATTTGGCACAAGAATTCCTCAAAAGCTCTTCAAACACGTTTATTGCTTCTTAACACATAGCAACATTGCCAGGATAAGGAAGCTGGTTTTTGTTGTTGTTGTTTAGTTTTACCTAGCACTCCAGAAATAATATACTTGTGAGCTTTCCATGATTTGGGGTAAGATTCCTTCTTCCCAAAAGATTCTTTCTCCAGAAAAATGATGAAACACAAATAAGACTAAAGTGCAAAATCAATACTTTAGAAGTGTAGAATAGTTGAACTAAATTTTAGTTGTTATTCAGTCTAATACCTTAATTGAATAGGTGATAAAACTAAAATCCAAAGAAGTCTTCACACAGCCAAATATATGTTAATTGCTGGTGATAATTAAATTTTTGCTTTGAATTCTATTTGCATAGTATTATCACTGCTCATTCCGGATGACAGGAGAAGGCTGGCTTCTGTGTTGTGGAGAATATCAAGACGTTCTTATAATTGATGCCAAAACTTTGGCTATTGTTCACACTTTTACATCATCTCAGTCTCCTGACTGGATTAACTGCATGTGCATTGTCCACTCCATGAGAATACAAGGTAATAGTTGGATATTATATAACATAAGAGATTGCGTATAAAAATATCAGTTTTGAACTATTTTTAAATTATTGGGCAAGAGTTCAGAATGCTGTTTTATGTTAGTGGGGATAGCTCTCTAAGCTAGATCAAGAAAAACTGAGAACACTCATGCCAGTGGTTCAAGTTTTTGGAAAGTCAGCAAGAAATTAAGATGAAGTAGAAAGAGGAGACCCTGTGTTTCCCTGACACAGTTATGCTTGGTGCATTTTAAGATTCACAAGCAAGTGTTTGTTGTGGATTAGCAGGACTCTTGGAACTTTTGCCCTTCTGTATCTTCTGGATGTAGCGATGAAGAGAATTTAATTTCTGTAATGAGTAACAACACAGGAAAGGGAAGACTGGCTCTTTATTTATTTCTGAAATAGTAAGGTTGCCAACATGATGTTTTGCAGGTGGTTCTGTTTTTAGTGGTGTTCTCCTTTTACATGGGGGGGTCACTTTGAAATTTTAAAATATGACCTAAATGTTTATTTTTTATTTAAAAAAAAAGCTGAATATTTTCCACCTACATAGACCTGCATCATCCTCGAATGACTATGAAATGGTCTTTACAGCAACCAGTTATAGCAGTGGTCAGCTTATATGTGATCTTTGCTGTTTTTGCAGAAGATTCTCTCTTGGTGGTATCAGTAACTGGTGAACTCAAAGTGTGGGATCTCTCTTCATCTATCAACAGCATTCAGGTTGGCTTGTGAAACTCTATTCTTTTTTTCCCCTCCAATTTCAAGCATATTTATTAAAATTTTTTAATTATAGGGATATTACATGCTCATTATTAAAAGTTCAAATAATATAGAAGTCTATAAATGTTACTTCCCCGTACTTCCCCCATCCTTCTTCCCAGGGGTTAGCATTGGTAACAGTTGGATTGTAACTTTTCAACCTTTTCTCCCTGCATATACAAATGTCTTTATCTACACACATACCCACATATGCACACACAGATCACACTTTTAATTAAAAAAAGAAAACCATCATAAAAGAATATCTTTCTGTCCCTTACAGTAGAATATCTCATACACCCCCTGTCTCCTGGGATGTATGAGCAGGGGCAGGGAGACGACTATGAACAGCTGGGGGTCACATCCACTGGCAGTCCAGTATATTCACCTGCTCCCTGGCATCAGGCTACAAGTTGAGGTGATGGACAAAAGAACAGTCATAGTGTTTGTGCTGGTGACAAAATTGTTTCAGCTGCCCCATGGAGCGCTGGGCCCTCCTTAGGAATTTCTTGGTTGAGAAAGCCTAAGAATCGTGTTGACATACTGAGCCCGAGAAACACACCCACCATTTTCAGAAACTTATTGAGAATAGTATTCTATGTGTTTAGTGTTGGCCACTCTTCTGTTTTTTCAAAGCACTTTGTTCATTTTTCTATTTTAGCAATTAAGATACTGCAGGGTTTTTAAGAAATTATTTTACTTTTTTAAAATTTTATCTATCTGCCATGTCTGAACGTCAATAACTTATTCTTATCTTTTCATTCTCAGCATCCAGTGTAGTCTCTCACAGAATGTTTCTTGAATGATTATATATAATGAACGCTTGAATCCAAGTGGGTTTCCTGTTCACAATTTCTTTTGCAAAGTAACTTCTTTGCAAAAGGAAACTGGGGTACTCTTCATTTTATAATAATGGCGGTGATCTACTTCAGGTGTATAGGGGAGTAAGTCTTCTCATACAGTTGTGTATAGATTACCTAAAACTAGTACTAAAATGTTTTGATTCCTTTTGAAGGAAAAGCAAGATGTCTATGAAAAGGAATCCAAATCTCTCGACTCCCTGAACTGCCGGACAATACGATTTTGCACATATACAGAGAGACTTCTATTGGTGGTATTTTCTAGGTGTTGGAAGGTATTATAAAATAACATAATAAATACCAGTGATATACAAATGTAATTTGTTTTTTTCTTGTTCAGTGCAACAATTATAAGAATATAATGTAAATATGATACAAACTCTTTATAATATTATTACCAGAGAATGGGATGACTTGTCTTTCTGACTGACTTTCGTAAGTCTTCCACTCCCCACATTCAGCTGTTTACTTCCCAGGATATTATATGTATGCTAGCATATCCTAATTTTATTAATAACAAACCATAGTAATAATGAGCATTTATCTCTAGATTATTTTCAAAGTTGGTGCCTACACTTTAGAATTAAAAAGAAAACTAATACTTTTCATCTACATAAATTGATCTTATTTTTAGATTTTTTTGTTTTTTTGGCTTTGTCACCACATTTGTTTTTAGGGAATATACATTCCTTTCCTGTGAATATATTCACTGATGTCTTCAAGAAGAAAGAAAAGCTAAGTTACCATCGTTTGATAGCATCCTCTTTTTCTTTAACGTTTCGTGTGCTTGGCTCAGTTAACAAAACTATATTGTCTTACTTATATGCTGGTAATATATTTTTGAACAAAAATATAAAGTACATGGATATAAAGTGCATGGTCTAAAAAAGGATTTCTTCTGTATAAACATTTTTTGTGTGATAAATTTTCACATGTTAACATTGGGCTATCTATATGGAAATAACAAAATTATATAGCAATTTTGAGATTTTTGGTCTTTGTGCTTAATGGGCACTTTCTGGAATGATATAGTCAGATGAAGTTTATCCAGTGAAACTTACCTTAGGAGAAATGTGAAAAAAAAAAAAAGTACTAGTAAAATATTATCTTCATACATGTGTACAGTTTGGCCTTTTATTAACACTTGGTGTGTTGTATTAACACTGTCATCAAAATGGTTTTTTTTTTTTTTTTTTAAAGATTTTATTTTATTTATTTTCCCCCCAAAGCCCCAGTAGATAGTTGTATGTCATAGGTGCACATCCTTCTAGTTGCTGCATGTGGGACTCGGCCTCAGGATGAACGGAGAAGTGGTGCCTCGATGCGCACCCGGGATCCAAACCCGGGCCGCCAGCATCGCAGCGCGCGCACTTAACCACCAAGCCACAGGGCCGGCCCAAAATAGTCTTGATGAGCATAATTTGTCTTTCATCTCATTGGCAGATTAGATTGTAAGCTTTTGTTAATGTGCATCATTAATTTTGTATTTTAGGTTTATGATTATTGTGATTTTTCCCTTCTGCGGACAGAAGCTAGTAGCAGTGGGCAGTTCTTTGCTGGTGGAGAGGTGCTTGCTGCTCACAGAATCATCATCTGGACAGAAGATGGTCACAGTTATATCTATCAGCTGCTGAACAGGTGGGCTCAGATGGGAGCGGCATACAAAACACTCAGGTAGAAAATGAACTTTGGGAGGTTTATTATGGAAAAATCCTTGCATGCTGCCCATGATCAAAAACCAGAACAAAACAACTTTGGCACTAGAAGATTTACTCTGGGCTTTGGTAGGCTTCAGTCTTTGTATAAAACAGCAGGGGATGAAGGAATGAGATTAACCATGTATAACTTGTACAGCTGGTGCTGGGTTTTCAAAAAGTCACTTGTAATTATTAACCCAACAATTTCTATCTGGAGTTTAGAAACTTGAATGGTACCATCCGGCTTTTGAAAGTGGGAGGGGAAAAAAAAAAACTAATAAAGAACCCCAAAGTTTTAAACTTCGCTTTTTATTTTTCACCACGCAGTGGGCTTTCAAAAAGCATATACCCTGCTGATGGAAGAGTGCTTAAAGAGACCATTTATCCTCATTTACTGTGCTCTACTTCTGTGCAAGAAAATAAGGTAATGCAAGAAAAGAGTGACTGCCTCAAAGCTATTTCACTCCATTTCTTAGATAAGTGTTGCTTTGTCTGTAACAGACTCAGGCTAGAAAAAATTGAATTGAAGAATCACATCATGTTGTTAACGAGAAAATCAAATCTAATTGTTAATGGTTACTGAAGAGGAAACTTTGCCTTTAAAAAAAATCTATTTTTTAAGTCTGGTTAACTAAACGATGCATATTTATTATAAAAAAGTTATAAATGTTAAAAAAACAAAGGAGGAATTAAAATTCCTAATTTTACCACCATCAATATCTACTATAAATAGTTGTATTATATGTATTTACTTATTTTAATAGGAAATGTTTCAAATAGTTGAAAAGTTGCAAGAATAGTACAATGATCACTCATATGCCCTTTACCTAGATTCACTAATTGTCAACATTTTGCCATATTTATTTTCTCTCTCTCTCTCTATATATATATGTACACACAAATACATATACATACACACATACATTTTTTTCACTGCCCCTTTTGATAGATGGTTTGATACAACGTTACTGACATTTTGATGTATCTACTCCAATTTTTAAACTTTATCAAATGGTTTATATCTTGCTTTTTTTTTTTTTTGCTTAACTATATATTGAGATCATTTTCACATGTATGTAGCTATTCTTCTGAATAAATTTTCTTGTTAAAACAAATATAATTATGGTTTCTGGCAGAGAGTGGAGGATATAATTGTCAGCATTTACTTGACTGAATTATATCTTTGACACTCTCTGAAGCCTGAAAATTTAAGCAGTTACTTTATTTTAGTAATGTTAGCCAAAGTGTCTTTTTTTTTTGGATTTAGTCATCAGTTAATTGTCCAAAAAGGTATTTCACTGAGAATGGAGGAGTTTTGAATTATTGATGTGTCAACCAAGGAAGTATGTTAGTTTTTACAGAGTGATGGTTTGCTTAATTAGACAGCATAGCTGTTGGAAATCCTATAGTTCAGTGATAGTCCCTTTAACATATCTGTGAGGTTTTGTTGCAAAAACTTGATTAAGAAGCTGTCAGCCAAAAATTAGGCCTCCAAGTGCCACTGGGGCACAGGCAAACTTTAGAATTATGGCATCAAGCACTATTTCTAAAATCATTTGTGGGTGACAATAGAGCATTGTCTTGCTGTTGATCACAAAAGCCGTAATGTGGCTTACTCAAAAAGGCATTTTTAGTTTTTTTTTTTTTTTTAAGGACCTGTCCTTTCCTCCTTTCTAGCTCCAGAATGCATTTTTATAAAGCACATTTTAGCCTACAAGCTAAATATAAGTAGTGTCCTTTAGGAACTTCTAGTCTACTGAAAATAGCAATGCTATACGTAACTATAAGGCAGAAGTACAATTAAAAGTTAACTTAAAAATAATAATCTCATGGGAAGCTACCTTGCTTTGTTTTTCACAATGTGAAAACACAGATTTATGGGTCTTCTCTCAATAATTCTTGTGAAGACAATCACAGTTGTTTCTGTATCTTAAAAGTGGGAAGTACTGGAAGCCAGTGAAATATGAATGGAATAATCTGAAACTGAAAGAAGCTGGTCTACCCATTCTGGGACCTTTGCCTGTCCTTTATCCAGCCAAGAAATTGAAGTCAGACATTATTCTTCTTATTCAAAACATTAATATTCACTAAATATAAGACTTCTTAGTCTCTCCTGCAGTTAGAAGGTAATGAAGGCATTTTGGTGAGGTGGGGAGATGAGTTCAATAAATATAGTGAGCTTAGAAAATGGTGCACTGTAAACAAGTAGTATTGACTGGACTTCTTTTTTGGAATAATACCATAGAATTAAATCTCAGTGTGTGACAATAACATGTTCTCAGAGTTCCCATTTGTAATGCGGGAACATATCTGCTGATGAAGTTGTAGTAGCAAGAATGAGGACTCTGCCTTCCTTCCAGTAGCTTTATGAGAGTATCCTTAGCTTCAAATCACAGCTGATAATCACTGAGACCTGTGGTGGGGGCCCTGACTGTTGAGATGAGGAACTGGGCTTCCCCGGGTCTTAGCTGTGGAGTAAGAGTGCAGCGCTGAGATGGGAGTAGTTGGGATGGAAACTGCCTGAGAATTGCAGATAAGGGATTTGGGAGCATGAACTAAGAGTAATGACAAAGATGACGATAATAGGTAACTTTTATTGAGTCCTTATTATGTCAGACATACACACCGCCTTATTTACATGAGTTCCCACCATGACCTCATTTTGAAACTGATGTTAAGAGAGGTTAATTCCCAAGATCTGAACCCAGGTAGTTTGGCCCCAGAGTCTGGCAATGTGTCTTTGGAGTGAGTTTCTCAATTGTTCTGAGAACTGGATAATAAGAATGGTTAATATTTATTGAGTATGCACCAAATGCCTGGCACCATTCTAATCACCTTAACGTTTGTCAACTCATTAATCCTGACAGTAATCCCATATAGCGGGTGCTTTTATTAGCCTTCTTTCACAGTTAGGGAAAATGAGACACAGAGAGGTTAAGTAAATTGCCTAAATCAAGTACTTGGCTCTTTTAGTAGAGTTAGTATGTGCTAAAACCAGGATTTGAATCCGGGCAGTTAGCCCAAGAGAATTCACTCTTAATGACTATTTTATTACCTCTTGCAGGCTCCACACTCCTTGTGATGGGTACCAGGTACTATGATGAAAAATCAGAATTCATATGGTTAGGGGCTGAGGGGGTTTTCAGGTGAATAGCAGAACTGGTGAGGGAACTTCTAGGAAGGAGGAGGATCGAGGGGTCAAGGAGTAGGTGTGAGCAAGTAAAGAATGGTAGAGGGCAGAGGGCAGAGGGGATAACAGCAGCATGGAGAATGTGGGCTGTAGGGGCAGTGTGGAGCTGGGAGGGAGGAGACATGCTGCCACCAACTTGAGTCACCACTCAGCCTCTCTGGAGTTTCATTCCCGTGTCAAAATCACAAGGGAGTTGGACTAGTCAATTCTAAGGTTCCTAAAGGCTGAGAGAATTTGAGAAGCCAATTTAACCACATTTTATCAACAACATTTCTAACACCTACAAAAATCATGGCCATGAGAATTATAAGACCCCAAAGTGTCTTCTGAGTCTTTAAAAAAATAGAAGATAAGGGGCTATCCCAGTGGCCTAGTGGTTAAAGTTTGGCATGCTCCACTTTGGCGGCCAGGGTTCGGAGATTGGGCACAGACTTACACCACTTATCAGTGGCTGTGCTGTGGCAGTGACCCACATACAAAATAGAGGAAGACTGGCACAGATGTTACCTCAAAGCGAATCTTCCTCAAGCAAAAAGAAGAAGATTGGCAATAGATGTTAGCTCAGGACGAATCTTCCTCAGCGAAAAAAAAAAAAAAGATATATTCAGAGAACTGACTTCATTGGAACTGTTTTCTCTTCTGCAATGCTCTCATTTCTTGAGACTATAAAGGATTGCATATCTTGGTTGCGTGGTCTTGGATTAGTTTCTTATTCTCTTCCTGTTTTACCTTCCTTATCTCCATAACAGTAATAATAACAATATTTACTTACTTTGTAGTTTTGTTGTGAGGATTAAACATAGCAATATTTTGTCCCTTAATATTCTCTAAAGATATGTTATAGAATTTTTCCACTAATATATCTAAATCTGAACCTTCAAATCTTTATCTTTTGACGAGGAACTACCACTTTCTTAGATTTCTTTAATTCTAGCACCCAGCAGTTGGCTTTCTTTTCAGGATGCCTTTTATTTGTACATCAAGAGAAGTTTGGGGTTTTGTTTTTCTAATCACTTAACCATTTTGATCTCTTGTGCATAATCTTTAGATACAAGCCTGCCCAAAGAACATCTGCACTGCACTGAGGTACTAGGGAGATTCTAGATTCATTCACTAGTGAAAGCATCTTTCAGAGTGCTGGTGCCCAATATTCTCTGCCTCAGCAAAATTATAACTATTTATATACATATATGTAATATAACGCTATATTACATATTAATATAAATATATGTCTTTTATAAGTTATGGACTTATTTTTCTTTGTGGCCACTTGGAAAATTTGAAATCAAGTATGTTAAAACTGAAAAATGGTCAACAGGAAATGGAAAGCATATTAATAACACAAAACTACCATACAAATATAAGTCGTTGCTATATTAAGTACAATTGGAACTGAAGGGACCATAAGGAAATCAGACCTCCTTAGTGGACAGTAGAGTATTGTCATCAAGATATAGGCTCTTGAGTCAAAATTACTGGACTAAAAAGCCCGTTGCTGTCTATATCACCTTAGATAAATCAACCTCTTCACTCCCAGTTTACTCATCTGTGAAATGAAGACAATAATAGTACCAACTTCACAGATTATCGTGAAGATTACTTAATGAACACATGTAAAGCTCCAAGCAGTATGTGTAATACATGCATAGAACATGTTCAATAAATGTTAGATAGTCTTGTTAACTCTTGGAAGTCTAGCTGATGACTTTGCTTCCTGTTTTATAAATTTTTTTTTGTCCTAAGTAAGAGATTATGTCACTTAATTCACTTGAAATTTTTGAAAGGGTGGGAAATAAATAGAAACAATTTAGTTCATCTGTGAAGTCTTGTTCCTCCATTTAAAAAACAGTGGCTGTTATTTTATACTTTGATATTTTTCCTACATAAAAGCCAACTTTTTGTTTTGGACCAGAGCAATCCCTTTGTTATGGGCTACATGAATGAAAGGAAAGAGCCTTTTTATAAGGTACTTTTCTCTGGAGAAGTCTCAGGAAGAATTACTTTGTGGCACATCCCTGATGTTCCTGTATCCAAGTTTGATGGTTCTCCTAGAGGTAAGACAATTTCCATTTCTAATCACATGTATGCTGAGAACTAGTTTATAATTAACTCTGTTTTTCTAAGTTGAGTTACATGAGGCTACAAACAAGAAAAATTTTCTTGTGTATTACTATGCATTAGATGCCAAAATAAACAGATGTAAACATGATGCTTCTAGATCTTATACAACAATATAACCAATATACTTCAAATTAACATCAATTTAACGTGAATGATGTTTTATTGAAATGAAATGAATGCTGACAATATGAATATAGGATAGGCTAATACACTATATTTTTATGTTTGAAATTGTCGTGTCCATATCCTATACTCTTTTTCAAACAATTTCTCTGTTGGGATTATTACAGCTGCTTGGAACTACAAGCACAGACAGAAACTTGGGCACTAAAATGTTTGGCAATTTGAATAATTAGATGATTCAGCATTTGCTTATTTTAACTTTCCTTCAAATACAAAACTGAACTCATCAAAGCAAACATTATTGTGGAGAACTTTCAAACTCCTGAGGCTATGTATTCCAAACTGAGGAATTCTGTCTTACTCTTTTTCCTTTGTTCCAAAATCAGTGAATCATCTCTGTGAGATTGTCTGGGGCACAGCAGAAACAGGGTCTCTATTCTCACTACTTGAATTTCTAAGCCTGGGTTTCCATTGGTTAACAAGTTTACTGGTATAAATTTTAGTGTTTCTCTTCCAAATGTTTTCAAAATGGTTCATAATAGACCTAGATTAATAAGAAATGGGTCAGGAAATAGACTTAGAAGTTGGTATGGTGTGTCGAAAAGTTTCTTCTTACAAGTTCAATTTTAAGAGTTGAAAAGTATACCATGCCCACTGCTGAGACTACTTGACGGTGGCTCTAGGATTTCTCATGTCTGTTCTACTTCCCGGCAGCAGAATTAAGCATCCAGCCAATCTTGTTTATAATTAGAACCGTAGAAATCTATGACAACTCTTGGTGCTAGTCTAAGTTTCGAGGTTGAGGTTTTCACAGTCACTGTGGCGTGGGTACTTCAAGGTCAAGGAGGCCTTTTGGTTAATAAATTATATAAAGCGAGGTAGGTTGGCTTTAACTTGCCTTCTTTGCTTCTGGATGCCAAGCCTGTCTTACTTTCTGAGCCTACCTGAGGCACATGTCAAGTGCTTGGGTGGTCAGCTGTATAAATGATAACCAGTTCTCTTGGTAGCTGTAGATAGTTGCCTGGGGGTTGATATGACTTTGAGATATTCATATCCTTGACATTTAAAGAATAAATTTCTTCCATTTACCTCACACAACTAATAGACCCTCAGTTTTCCTTCTTAACATTATAAAGGCAAATAGAGAACTCATGAGGTTGGTCCACCATTTTACATCATTGCGAGAGTTTCTCAGTTCTTTTCAGTTGACCTAGGTCTAAAATGAATGCACTAATATACATCTATTCTTCTGAGGCTCCTTTAAGGACAGAGGACTAATAAAATAGCATTTTGATGAAGACAGTGGATGGTGGGAGAACTGTTCTGCCCATAGCCCACTATTAGGATGGCAAAGGAGCCTCTGTGTAACCCAAGGGATGGTGCCTTGATAATATTTTCCATATCCATGATGAATTTATAAACCAAATTTTTCTTTTTTGTGTGTTTTCCTTTTAGAGATACCAATAACTACTACCTGGACCCTTCAAGATAATTTTGATAAGCATCATACCATGTCACAAAGTATTATTGATCACTTCTCTGGATTTAAAGATGAGACTGGAACTGTGGTAGTCACTTCATCAGAGTATGTTCCAAGTCTTGATAAACTAATATGTGGCTGTGAAGATGGGACAATTTTCATTACACAGGCTTTGAATGCTGCCAAAGCAGGACTTCTAGAAGGCGGTTCTTTATTAAAAGGTCATTGAATTTTATTTGACCCTATTTATTTAATTTACCTAAGTTCCAACTTTAACAAGCTGTAATAAGAAGATTGCTGAAGCTTAAAAGATTTGCTAGTATTTTCTAATAAATGTGTATATATTTTAATGTTAAACATACATCTAGATTTTTTAAAAAGTCAAGTGGAAGGTATACAATGAGAAATATGTTTCTCTCCTTCCTTGTTCTTCCAGTTCTCTTCACCAAAGGCAACTGCTAATAAGTTTCTTTATACCCTTCTCAAAATTTTCTATGCATATACAAACACATACCAACATAGCAGTATGCATTCTTTTAATTATGTCATACAAATAGAAGCATTTTTACCACACACTTTACTGAAATGTCCTTAAACAAATCTTAAAATATTTTGGTGCACATTCCTTATGAGCTTAAGTGATTAATAATAATCAAATTTTAATTAAAAAAATCTCCTATTAATTGGTGTTTAAGTTTTAGTCTTGGCTACTACAGACAAAGCAGAATTAACTATCTTTGCATATATATATATGTGGGTATATCTATAGAATTAATTCCCAGGAGTAGAATTACTAGATCAACATTTATGTGTATTTTTAATTTTGAAAATACGTCTAAAAATGTTCTCCAAAGAACATACATGAATATATGTATGTGTCCACTAACAACCTATGAGAATGCCTTTTTCCCCAAACCTTGGCCAAAACTGTGTGCTGTTAAAATTTTAGATTTCCAATTAGGAGAAAATGGTATCTTCCTGTTTTAATTTTTATTTCTTTGTTAATGAAATATAAGTATATTCTTATACATCTTTGTGCAGTACAACAGCGAATACCTATTAAATAAAGACAATTGTGCATTTAAGTTTTATTAGGTAAAAGAAGGAAATGTAGGAGGTGATTGAGATTTGGGGGTGTGTAAATAAAGTTGTATACCATTTTTTTTTTTTTTTGTGAGGAAGATCAGCCCTGAGCTAACATCCATGCCAGTCCTCCTCTTTTTGCTGAGGAAGACTGGCCCTGAGCTAACATCTATTGCCAATCCTCCTCCTTTTTTTTTCCCTTTTTCTCCCCAAAGCCCCAGTAGATGGTTGTATGTCATAGTTGCACATCCTTCTAGTTGCTGTATGTGGGACGCCACCTTAGCATGGCCCAACAAGCGGTGCATTGGTGTGTGCCTGGGATCCGAACCCAGGCCGCCAGTAGCGGAGCGCGTGCACCTAACCGCCAAGCCACAGGGCGGCCCCTGTATACCATTTTTTATTGTGTGGATCCTACTAGACTGCAAGGCCCTTAAGGGTAAAGACCAAATCTCAGTTTTTTAAAAATAATTTTGTTAAATTGCCTACTATGTTCTCAGCTTACTTTGGCTACTTACTAAGTATTACTAACTTGTGATTCAGTGATTGACTGCAGCAGAGGTGTGAATAGCAATAAACTGAGGAGAGGTAGTGTACTGCTGTACAGCTCAATGGCTGCTGTTAAAAGTTAGTGAAAAAGCTTAAGACCTTAGCATTTTTTATCTAGGCTGATTTATCTTGTCCAGAAAACAAGCAGAAACCTACGTTTGACTTGTAACATCTGAATTAATATTCATTTTGGTTTGCTAGGGGATAATCAAGTGAGGATGTACCTGATGGAGTAGAAGTAACCAATGATTCTTTAATAGAATTAATAGTGATTCTTTGGGACTCATTTTCAATTTGAACAAGGAGAGTTTGTAGTCTATACTCCTCTCCAATTTTTTTAGATTTAGCTAACGATGAAGGAAGAAGCAGTGTGGAAACTGGATGTAGCTCTGTGTTCTAGTACAGCTATGGTTTGAAATACCCAAGTTCCTACCAAGTTTCAGTGCTAAGAATTTATGGACATTATCTTATTTATTCCACACAACAGTCTTGTGTGAAGTAAGTGCTATTATTACCCCAATTTTTTCAGATGCAGTACCTGTGGCTTAGAGGGAAGATGCAACTTGTCCATGGTGACACATCTAGTAAGTGATAGATCCAGAAAAACAAAGCCAGATTTGTTTAACAGCAAAGCTATGCTCTTAAACATTTTGCTGTGCTTTTTCACACGTGGATTCAAACAACTTAACCTCTCTGAGCCTCTGATACTTTATCTGTAACACAATGAGGTGGAACTAGGTAATCTCCAACATCTTTTAAAGCAAAAATGTTCTGTGAAACTTTGCTTTTCTTTTTTACAGACTTGGTCATGCTAATTTAAAGGACAGCAGTAATGTTCAGAGCTTATTTTTGTAGAGGAAAAATGTATGAATTGTCCATTCTTTTAGAACAGCATTTGCTATTTCGTGGTACTGGAATTAGTAACTTGCTGACAGCCTTAAAGAATTAGTGGACTTTGAACAACCAACTTCAGTGCTTCATCAATGGCTTATGATGACCTTCTTGTCTTTTGAGATGGTCTAAGGGTTGTTCACTAATTTTCTTAGTCAACTGCCTAGCTTTAATTATATGTAGTTTCCTTACATTAAAAATTTATAAAGGAAAATCTCAGGACTATTTCTTGAACAAAAATAACTTTTTTTATTATTTGGTGTTTGGTTCTTTTCCAGATTCCCTTCCTCACAAAGTTCTCAAAGGCCATCACCAAAGTGTTACTTCTTTACTTTATCCACATGGTCTCTCTTCAAAATTAGACCAAAGTTGGTTAGTGTCCGGGGACCGGGACTCAAGTGTCATTTTGTGGAATATCTTTACGGAAGAAATTTTGCATAAATTCTTTTTGGAAGCTGGTCCAGTAACAAGTCTTTTGATGTCACCAGAGAACTTCAGAGTAAGTTAAGATAAAGAGTAAAATATAACACATAAGTTCAAAAGTTATATAACATTATAGAATGTTTAAAAGACAAAAGGAAAAATAGCCCCTATTCCCACAGAAAAAAAAAAGTTCTATGTGCCCATAATAAAACTAGATGATTTTTATACACTCCTTTCTAATATTTTTATATGCATTTTATTACTACAGCTTATACAAATAATTTGGTTCTAAAGCGAAGGTTTTGTCAATTCTTGGCTTTACAAAAGCAACTTAATTCTCTTTAAGTACTTAAATTTTTTTCCCTAGTTATGTATCTTAATTTTTAATGGAATTATCTTTTCTTTTTTAATAAAAGCAATAAACACTCAATGTAAAAACAATTCAAATATAAACGAATCTATAAATAGAAATTAATTGTTGCCTTCAACAATTTGCTTTTAGGGGCCGGCCCGGTGGCCCAAGTGGTTAAGTGCATGCGCTCCGCTGCGGCGGCCCGGGGTTTGCTGGTTCGGATCCAGGGTGCGCACCGACGCACCACTTGTCAAGCCATGCTGTGGCAGCGTCCCATATAAAGTGGAGGAAGATGGGCATGGATGTTAGCCCAGGGCCAGTCTTCCTCAGCAAAAAGAGGAGGATTGGCAGATGTTAGCTCAGGGCTGATCTTCCTCACACACACAAAAAAATTGCTTTTATAACAATATCAATAGTTACATTTTCTTTTTCTTAGATAGATTTTTACTTGCTCTTTCATTTATTTAACAAAGAGTGAGTTTTAACAAATTTATGAGCATCTGGCTTGTGCCAGGCAAAAGGAAATGCTTTCAGGTATAATTTTCTATGCAATGTCAACTTAAATTCAGCTTCCATAAAGTTGATGTCTTTGTTAAAATATGAACAACCAGCTTTTGAGTTTCCTGAGTTTGTAAGTTAGTTGATTGGCTTGAAAAAATTATTTCTCCATAATAATATTATAAAAAATCAGCTCCAAAGTAAACTCAGAGAAAATTTACACTGTGTTTTTGTAGTAAGACATAATGAAAGCAATATTTCAGCAACACGAATGATTAAACAAAACAATGAAACAAAGTTAAGTGACTTTAAAAAAAAAAACTTCCACATAGTGATTTGGGATACCTTGATATGTCTTTTAATCCTGAAGTTCCTCTCCCCTTTTTTTTTAAGTCATTTTTTTCTCTCTGCTCCAAGAAGGTAGTTCAAGTCCATTCTACACCTGATCCCTTTTACTTTTGCCTCAGTCACAGACGCTTTAACTCTAAGGATCAGAACCCATTCAAACCAAGTCAAATAAAAAGAGAATTTGTTGACAGGGTTGAGAGGAGAGGCTGTCCTTTAGACATCCAAGACAAAATACTACAGCAAGGACCCAGTGGAACGTGGACTTAAATTCAGAAACCAAGGTTACTCTTCGAGTCCTTTACTCTGAAAGACTCTACTTTTTTGTGATTGCTCCTTTCTCTTGCTTCTTCCTATGACTTCTTTTGGCTTTACAATTTTAAATGCCTAGAAAAGAGAATTTGATTGGCCTAGTCTGAGTCTCCAGTGTATGTCTACTCCTGGCCATAGGATCTGTGTTCACGTGTTGTGTGTGTGTTCATATGTTGTGTGTGTGTGTCAGTTTCCTTAAGCACATTGGGCTGGACAGAGGCTTTGAGTTGGGCAGGTTCTCCAAGAGGTAGTGGTGGGGAGGTAGTGCCATCTGCCCCATTCTACAAGTCCAGGATCCAGATCTATCACACCTGCCATTTTGTGATTTTTTTTCCTCGAGATTTCTGTAGTCTCTAAAAAGAGTTAGGAAAAATAATATGCTCCCCAGTGCCCCACAGAAAGAGGACCATGATGGGCACTGGGAGATTTTCAAGGGAGCCCAACTAGTGCTTTAAACACAGCAGCTGAAACTCTGACTAGGTGCTGTAGTGAAAGTCTGAGAATCCACACAGCAAGATGGTTAGAAAAGAAACAAAGAATGTAGCAGAGCCACTCCTTGCTTTCCCTCCTCCCCGCCCCCCACCCCATCTACCCCTATCCATGGGCTGCCTAATACGTGGCCCTCGTGGTAAGACACAGTGGTGCCTTGTAAACTGCCAGATTAGCCTCAGAAGCATCCAGCACGGATGGTTTTTGTCCTAAACTGTGTTCAAGGTAACCACATGCTGACTTTTTAAAAAGTATCTTAAGTATCTTTGTTCTGGGAGCCTATTTTTGGTCCTTGTGTCTTTGAAGTTTCACATTCAGTTGGAACTATCTAATGCTTACCTCTTTTAGATTGTGTCTACACTGAGTTTCCTGTTTGGATTAGAATCTGTAGAGTTCTGGGAACAGCACCAAATCACATTTTGAGGCTCTAAGTGGAAAATATCAGCTCATGATACCCTTGGGCCTAAGCTTGTGTCTACAAATAGCTTCTTTTTGTGGCAACAAATTAGTTCTGGGGTTTATTTTACTCTGCTTTATTTCCGACGTCTGCCTCACTGCCTGAATTTGCTGAGTGATGGTCAAGTCCTTCATTTATCTTATAAGTAGATCTGGCCTGGAATTCTCCTTTTCACTTGCATCTCTTGACCTTCCTGATAGGTTGTTGAGTTTAAAATCTACTCAGTAGAGTGTTATGTGGAGAGGTGCTGTAGCAAGCAGAAATGTCCCTTTGTAAAATGGGGTTTTAACAAAAATTTTATTTTACTAGGGGAAAAAATCTGATTTAATTTTAGAGAAAGCGTTTGACTATTTACTTACACGAGAATACTGGTTTTGTTCACAGCTAAGAAGTGATCAGGTAATTTGCTGTGTGTGCAGTGACCACTCCGTGACTGTCCTTCACCTCGAGGGGAAGAACTGCCTCCTGCGTGCCCGGAAACACCTTTTCCCTGTGAAGATGATAAAATGGCACCCGGTTGAGAATTTTTTAATCGTTGGATGTGCAGATGACTCTGTTTACATCTGGGAAATTGAAACAGGTAAATTGAAATTTTAGCCCTTTTCATCTTTTATATATTTATGACATCAAAGCATTTGACTGGGTAGAGAATTCCAGAGAAGTAGTGGGGATGACCTCACTTTCTTTAACCTTTGATTGGGCTGCATTTAATGGCTTCAGTTGAAGGCGTGTGTGGAAAATAAAACACAAGGGCCTAAGTCAGATCCTGACCAACTGATGATAAGCTGACAGGGCAATGCACAGGAATGAGCCGGATATTTCTGGAAGCTATAAATAAAAACATATCTACTTTAATTATTAACAAGAGAGAAATTTAGTGTCCTACTAGTCTCAAATTATCATTAAATTCTGCCTTCTTCAGCATACTCACCATCTCAGCAACATTTTGAGCTAATTGATGATCAGTAATAATGGAATATAATTAATTACAAAACTCCAAAAAGTTGAGTCAGGGAAACTGAAAATTGAGTGGCTCAATTGAACTTTTGATATCGTAGCATAGAGAATGTATAGTTTGAACTTTAAAGTTTTGAAAAAGTTTTACTGAATAACTTAAGATTGAGAGTTAAGCACTTCAGGTAAATGCTGGAACATATCAAATAAGCCGAGGTAATTAATGCATGTGAGTCAGCCGAGTGCGCTCAAGAGTACATTTCACTGAAGCCGTTGCATGATTTTTATTGATTAATCAGTGGTGGTTTTATGTTGGGTGTTATTAACAGACTGGATAGTTTATAATATAGTTTAGAGCCATACATCACCAAAATAATTGCTATATTCTTTACATTTGACTTTCGTGTGTTAATAATGATGGCTAATGTACTGGCCTATTGAGGGTGCAACATAATGCTGCCTTACATTTGTACCTTGCTTTACAGCTTTGTGCTCATTTTCCCATTAGATTATTATAACTTCTAGGGTAGGTGGAAGAGTTACTGGAACTCCTTTTATTGATGAGGAATTTGTAGCTATGATTTGTAAATGTGCAAGACTACACAGCTACTAAGTAGTGAACCAAACGAGGGTCCCCATTGTTCTCTAAATGATATACGACAAATTAGGAGAGTTCTGAATTCTTAGGTAATCTATCAATCTGAGTGACAATTCAGTATAATGGATAAAATAGGCTCTAAATCCTGGGCTTGCCTCCAGGACCTGCTAGCGAAGAGCTATTTGACCTTGGACAAATAACTTGGCTTCTCTGCGTGTCAATTTCCTTGTCTGTGAAATGGGAGTGATAATACTGCCTTCCTGTTAGAATTAAATAAACTAATACCCACAGTGCTTGTAACAGGGCCTGTAGGTACTAAGCCCTTAGTAACAATTAACTATTATTATTATTATCAAAGAATGCAGCAGAATCTTGACTTTTGCTTGTGAAATATGAGTCTGTAGAACACATGCACTGATAAATGTGTACAATTGCATTGTTTTTACTAATCAAAATATTTTTCCTAGAAAATAGAACCTAGCAAGAATAAAGAAATATCTGAGCACTTACAAGTGTTTATGGTTCCATTGCCCCATCAGGATACATTTCAGGTTATGCAACTTTTTATTTGTGTATTTTTTAATGGGGTGGGGAGTAAGGGAGGGAAGCCAAACCACTAGCACTTCTTGAGACCATATTTATTCACAATGTGTTTTAATTTTATTATTTCTTTTTATACTCCCCAAATATGTAACCAAATGTTGTAGAACATTTGAAAAATACAGAGAAACATGAAAAGCAAATAATCCTATTCCACTGCCTAAATATAACTGCTATTAATATTTTGATCTACTTTCTGTCAGACATCTTGCTATGTCAATAAATAGATGTCTATGTTGTGTTTTAGTCATGGTCTTGGCAGGAAATTGAATTCAACCCAGGTGGGTCAAATGAAGAGCCTTAAATGAAAGGACTGTTTATAGGGTTGTGGATAGGGATTAGGGAACAGACAAGGAATGGATAGAGAGGCCCCCATCAGCCCCACACTGGTGTCAGGAAGCTCTTACCACTTCTAGGGCTGAAGCAACAAGAGGAGAAAGTAGTGTTACTGGAACCCAGTGCGAGCTGAAGCCCAGGAGGAGTGGTCACTGCCTGAAGTCATGGAAGAGAAACAGCTCTGACCAGAGATGCAAGACTCAGACACAGAGTTGGAAGAAATTTTCTTCTCTCTCCTTCTGCGTCTGCTCCTTTGGTTTAATCCAACTGGAAGTCAGAGGGAAGGATGTTCAGTTCTAGGCATCGGCCAGGGGCACAGAGCAGGACACAGAAGGGTAGGGAAAGGATGGAGTAGGTTGTCAAATGGACGATAATTGGCATAGAGGCCACAGTGGACTCACCGTACTTTAACTCAGGAATCTCCTATAGTTGGTTATTTATATTGTTTTCCATAAAAAAGTTTGTTTTAGAATTGCTCTATCAAATAAGATGCACATTTAGTGCCAAATTAACCTGTAGAATATTTGTTCCAAATGAGGCTGTGAGGCTGCTTATCTCTTGGTTATCTACATTAATAGTTTATAAACAACCTTAACTAACCTAAGGTAGAGCTTATAATTGGTGAAAATATTACTAATAATTATATCGATGCCTTCATATTTGTAATGTGCCTGTTCACTTTGTCAACACATCCTCCCGTTGATGATCTTATTTGAGCCCCACAGCACTAGGTGGAGGTGGCTGACAGCCTAACTTTCCTCACCACACTCGTTCCTTTTGAGTAAGTTTGTGTTGTTCTTTCATTCCATCTGGTATTGGCTCTGTTTTGTGGTGAATTTAACCCCTGCAATTCCAATTTTGTTTAAAATTTAATGAACTACTTTTTCTTTCCCAAGATGAATTTCATCTGGCTAAGATACTTCCATCATGTTTACTCTACTTGATTTCTGTTTCATCCCTTTCCTGTAAAGGTGGGAAAATCTGGGATCAGAAAGTTTTTCTATTTACAGTTTCATAAAGTTAGGGGAAAAAATACCAGCTGAGACCAAAACGATTCTGCTGAAAAGAGGTGTAGAGGTCATAGAATATGCTTGTTCACTGATAGGCCTGGCACGTGAATGAATGAATGAATGAATGAACTAATCCAAATGTTCTTGGACCTCAGTAGATTGAGTACAAATGAGTTCACCTTACCATTGGCCAATTGTGGTGGCTCTTAGATCATGGCCACCCAACTGTAGGTACGTCCTTAGCTTTCTTCTCCAAATCTCCCCTAGGATTTCTGGAGTTCCCAGGACACACCTCACTTTCTCAGGTGTAAGTCTGTGTACTTTCTACTCGAGCCAATTTTTCCTGGATCTTTGCCTTTTAGCTTTGTTAAAAGGTTCATACTTACTTCCATATGTGAACATACCTATTCTTTGTTCCATTTCTCCAGCACTCTGCCTCCTCTAAATACCTGAAGGAGGAATAAATTGACACGAAGGCATTTATCAGCTCTTTCAGCACTAGAGCAACTCCACAGCTCATAGCGAGAAAATAGGAGTGCCAGTGGGATAAGGGTTTGGGGGAAAAGGGCTTAGAAAGAAAAGGCAGGGGAAGAGGCTCGAGGCCAAAAGTAATCTCAACTGTGCCAAAAGCCTGCCTTGCTGGAAGATTGGGGGGGTGGGGCAAAGGTCAGTCCCTGTGCCACCTTCCCCCAGGTGTGGAGAATGGGATATGAGACTTTTTCAGTTTTTCACAGACACTTTATAACAGCCTATTCTCACTTTATTCGTGAGATTTATTCATTCATTTATTTATTCTCTTTGGTAGAATGCACAAACATATTCTAGAGCCACTTACCCCCTTGCCTATTTTATCTTAAAATCATAAAAGGTATTTCTTTCTGTGAAGGTGGCATACCAGGTGCATGCCAGGGTAGAGTTTGGGATCATAGATGGGCATGCTCATCTCATGGGAGAGCAGACGCTGGAGAAAGGAAGTATTTATTAACAGTGAGGGCCCTCGTCTTCTGGCTAAAACTGCAGTGCTGCCAGCTTGGGAGTGATGAGGGCATCTAGTTTTGCTTATTGATTGGCCAGATGTCCCATGATGTTTAGGCGTGATTAGGAAGGGGAAAAATTGGAGATGTCGTTTTGATTAATATTTTAGCTCCCACAGTGTATTTGGCACTAACAACTCTGGGCAGCTTTGTCACCCTCATTGCTGTGAGACACAATAGGGATAATGTAGTACTGATTTTTTCCCCTAAAACACACACCAGAAATAAATCTCAGCTCTGAGCTCATTATTCTTTTGAGAATTGAATTTAAAATAATTCTGAGGACTTTTCTGTTCACAGTAATGGATTTACATAGCAGAAAACTTGTGTAATGAATTTCTTGTGTGTTATTAATATAACTGTTATTATTATTATTGAAGGTCTTCTATTAAGCTTATGGCCTGTGTTGTGAAATACGCCGTACTAGGCAAGTGGATTTTTTTGGGGGAAATGGAAACCTTACTTGCTTGAAAATAAAACATTTCTTGATAAGATAGTCAGAAAAATTTTTTCTAGAAAGGGCTGGATAGTAAATGTTTTCAGCTTTGTGGGCCATATGATCTCTGTTGCAACTACTGAATTCTGCCCTTGCAGCACAGGAGAAGCCATAGATAATAAGTAAAGGAGTGGGTGAGGCTATGTTCCAATAAAACTTTATTTACAAAACAGGCAGCTGGCTGGATTTGCCCTGCACTGTAGTTTATAGACTCCTAAAAATGATGATAGTTTTTTTTAAAAGATCATTATTTTCATAATAACTCATTCTAAAGCAGTTTATAATTTTTAATCCATTATACCTCAGCGACTCTGTATGGTTATACCCATTTTGCTAGTGAAGATATAGAACACAGATTTTTTGAGTCTGAAGCTCCCCAGGCTAGGTGTTGGGCACCTGCACTAGAACGTGTGTCTCTTTCTTTCGTTCTGGTGTGATCTCCACTGTACCGAACAACAGGAGCACCTCTTGCAGATGGAGGTTAGCCTTTTGAAACTGTCAAGCAGGGAATTCGATAAGAAAAGCTCTGAGAAGCCAAAAAAAAAAAAAAGA